GTGGCGTGCCCCAAATCTGCCTGTCTCTAAGAAAAATGTGGAGACAATGGGTGGTTAGTCAGGTCCAAGTCCTGGTGTCCAGGGGAATGTTCAGAACCCACGGGAATGGTGATGGCGTTTACTTCTTAATTGGCTATGGAATCCGTGTAAGCAACAGCTGAGGAGCCCTAGGGTGTCCACTCTCGAAGGCCATTGAGATTATTGTTGGGAGTACCCTCTCCCAGGGTCTGGTCTCTGACCGGTTGGGCCTGGCCTAGAACTCTGGCTTCCTGTTGCATAACTGCAACGCTGCCCATGTTCATCGCTGAGACTGTCACACAGCTGCCCGTGGCATGGGAGAGTGCACACGTGTCTTCGCCTGTGATGGAAGGGTGGTTGCACGTGGAGGGGTCAGGCAGCAGTTTCGAGGCCCAGGGCTGGCGTCACATGTCCCCTTCCTCTCCGACTCACACCTGTTTCCCCACATCTCACCCCGGCCGCTGAGAGCAGAGCTGGCACTGGCTCCCTAGAAGTGCAGGAACCCGGACGCCAACCAGGCTCTCGATGCCGGTCCAGCTGCTCACCCTGCCGAGTGTCTCTAGAGACTTGCGTTTGGACATCAGAGAAACAACTCTCTGTATGTGTAGTTAGTGTATTTATCTACACTTACTTAGAGCCTGAACTACAGCAAGAAGAAGGAACAGCCCACCACCCCCTTGGGGAGCTCGAGGTCCAGCTGGTGGCAGCAGAGATGGGCAGGTCTAGGAGGTCATGGCCACAGGGTCCCTCTATGCCCAGCGTGTCCACTCATCAGTCCATGTGACCGAACTCGTGCAGAGACAGGCAGCCTTGTCACCAGGCCCCCATCTGTCACAGTGTAGTACCCCTCTCCGTTTCAGTCTAAGTATGCAACATGTAATAATGGTAACCAGTCAGGAGAACTGGTGTGACCATCACATGTGCCGTTTACCTCTGGTGGGGTCATTGGGAATCCTCTGCCCGGCTGTTCTGAATTGAGCTGTTCTTCTTGTGCACCTGATTATCCTGCTGTGCTGCTGTCCCTCCAGCTCACCGAGCCCTTGGCCTGCGCGTCCTCTCTCTGTCCTCCCTCCTCCCATGGTGTTTGGGGTGGGACTGCATGTCTTTTGCAAGATGCCTTGGTGACACTCACTAGAGACAGGCTTGTCTCTGGCTTGTTCCAGCAGTACACACCTCTCTGTTAGGCTCACCAGAAAACAATCTGTAATTAATACGTTTATGTGCAGCACTCAGGAGGCTGAGGCAGGAGGATCATTGCAAGGTCAAGACTACCCTGGGCTTCAAAGTGAGCTCAAGACCAGCCTGAACTGCATAGCAAGACCTGCCTCAAAAGGACAAAAAAGCAGATGCACAAAAAATATACTTATGGGATACAATGTCCTGGAAAACAACAGATAGAACAAGAAATACTCAGAATGTACACTGGGGAATTTCATGACCGGTGTCCCTACCTCTGTTAGCTCAGCTGGTGGCGCCCACATAGCTCAGTGCTCCTGTGTGTGCCCTTGGGGCCAGAATGCTTCTCAATGGGGCAGGAATCGGGGTGGCATCGGAGATGCTGGGCTTCCCTCTGCCTCAAGTGGGGGCGACGTGGCAGCTGATCTGCACTCTGACTTTTGTGAATCGGAGCTTTTGCATTATCTCAGCTGCATCAGTGCATTGGTTGTGTGTAATTCAGCTCACACAGCCTCTGCTGTGTGCCACACGAGGTCACTGGCACTGCAGAAGCTGCAGGAGTCGAAATGGTCAGAGAAACCAAAATTCAGAGCTAAGTCAGTCTCGGTGAGCTTGGCCAGAGCCCAGTGACACTCCAGGAGAGCGACAGGAGACAGCCCAGTGGCCAGCCTTGTGCTCACAGCGCCCGTGGACGGCCTAGCCCTCGGGGGTGGGCACTCGGCTCTCCCTGGCTGCAGCTCAGTCTCTGCATCACTGTAGCTGTGTAAACCCTCTATGCCAGTGCGGAGGGTAACTTTGGGTGCTTCTGGGATCCTGCAAGGAGGTAGGAGCCGTCTCAGAAAGGTGCACGAGGGACAGAACACCTGCAGGTCCTTCAGCAGCGATGAGGAAGTCAGCCTGACCCTGGCCTACTGGGAGCCTGGAAAAGGAAGGCGGTTTTTAAAAACTCGCCTACAACAAACCGCAGCCCGAGATCATGCGAGATGGAAAATGGAACAAGCCTTTGTTTCCAACCGTGTTTTATTTATCACTCATCATCTACCATGTCTGAAGAAGGGTTTTAGGCCACCTGTAAAAAATAAAATAAAGTAACAAGGATTCTTGAGTTCTACACGGTTTTTAAAGTTGAGCTCTGAGCTTCCTGGAAACCAACGTGGAAAAACGTCTACTTGGTCAATTGGAAAATTTTTGCTCCAAAAAATTACAAGTTGAAGATCCCTTATTGAAAACTCCTGCCTGTGAGGGTTTTATGCACAGAACAAAGCATCGCAGTGTGGAGCTCCCGCCCGTGGCATCAGCGTTCAAAAGGCCTGAGACACCGGGGCATTTCAGATCGGGGGTTCTGGTGCAGGGTCGCTCACCCTGCTTTGTGTCCTCTGTTGCCTATGGAGTCGAGGTTTCATTTGGGTTTGGAAAGAGCCAAACCGGGACTCCCAAGGGTGTCGGCCAGTGCTGTGGTGGACAGTGTACCAGCCACCTTCCCACAGACAACGCCACTGTTGCCAGTCCAAGGGAGTAGCCACAGCCTCCAGCTTCCGAGTGATGCCTCCGTCGGTCTCTGCTCAGTCCTGGGAAGTTGTCCAGGTTGAAGTCCTTGAAGCAAAAGAAACGACTGTCTTGTGAGCAAAGGCAGACAGCGCTCACCTGGTAGCCGGCCTCAGTGACGAAGAGCACAGGCTCCGGGGCTGCACTGAATGTGCTACCTCTTGGCCACAGTTCTGCTGTGGTCACTGTGTCCAGCGCCTTTTTGACCTCCTGGAGCCTGCGGGAACAAACGTCACCCCAGGTGGCCTCTCCTGCCACTTGGTACCACCCAGTGACCTTTCCCAGCTCGCCCTGTGACAGCAGCACTTCACACAGCCATCCCACCAGGGACAGGTGCACCACACCAGCCCCATCCCTTTCCCGAGGCCTCTGTCCGGCCACCACTCCTCGGCCATATTCCCCAGGGCAAGGGAGGGCACCCTGGGTCTGACAGTGTCACAACTGGACAGACGCCTGGCCCTGCCCCCACCCATCACGAGCCTCCACCCTCCTGCCCTGTGCACGGCACCCTGTGTCTCTGTGTGGCCTGGCCACTAAACAGGCCGGCCCCTGAGCTGGAGCTGCTCATGCAGTCACAGCACAAGAAGGCAGGTGGCCGTGCACGCTGCTGTTGAAGCACCAGAAGCCCAGGGGCACACTCAGGGCCACACAGCAGGAAGGCAGTGGACAGGACTCCCTGGACACAGACACCCGTGGGGCAGCAGGGCACTGAGTAGAGAGCCCAGCCGATTCTCAAGCCCACACATGGAACCCAGCACTTCCCAGAGATGAGAAAGAACCGTATCCCCGCCTGGGCAGCAGCAGCGAGTCCACTGCAGAGACCACAAAGAGGCTCCGTGGCGGCTGCTTACTTTGCATCCGAGGAGCTGTGTAACCCTAAAGACCACCGCGTGGAAGGGTCTGGTGCTGCCACCACAGGGAAGGCAGCTCAGTGCAGAGCAGGAGATCTGGAGTCCCCGCCTCAGGCTGCTGTGACCCCCGAGAGCCCTTCCTCCTCACCGGGAGTTAGCCGGGCAGGGCGGGGATCCCCGCACCCAGGCCCTGGGGGATCCCTTTCTGCAGGTTTCGGATGCAAAAGCGGGCAGCAGTATTTCTCCTAGGCCTCAATTTATGCATTTGTGTAGGAGTGATGATTTAAATAGGAGCTTGATAAATTGATCAAATAAATTACGCCGGCCCTGCACGCCATCATTTCAGGGCGCTGTCACCACACCGAGGGTGCCCCGCGTCGCCAGTGTGTGCGCTGAGGCCGTGGGGATCTCCTTGCCTGCCACTACACTTGGATTCTTTCCAGATGCCTTTTTCACTCTGATCGGCCAGCTGCAGGACGGCTTTGGCCAGAGGGATCCCAGTGTGAAAGGCAGTGAGGGCGCTTGTAACCCTTAGCAAGTGGAACCGTCAGCCTCCTGTCCCCTCTGCAAACACTGGTTTGTAATGCCCGCCTCCAGCTGTCGTGTTCAGCATAAGCAGTGTGTGTGGAGGCCGCAGGGAGAATCCGGAGCAGAGCAGAGGTGACTCACATCCCTGTTACGCAAACCCGGTGGTAAATGCCACTGGTGACATCCCAGGAGAATACCTGCTACCAGGGCCACGCCTGGGTGGCCCGAAGGAGGCCACAGGACCTGACGCTGTGGTGGGAAGGCCGGAGACCGCAGCGTCTCTCACCTGAGATCCTGAGACGAGGTCATGCCGGGTGGTCAGCGGGCCCTTTACCCCTCCGCCCACACTCCCGGGCAGTGAGAGCGCTGGGGTGATGCCGTGGACACAGACCCCGTGCAGAAAAGGGAAGAGAAGCCGTGCGTTTGAGAGCAGACGCAGTGGGATCCACCGGTCCCGGGGCAACTGACTCTTCCCGTGGGGTCTCATCTCACTCCTCCTCCTTGATGTGACAAAGAAATCTCAGAAAGCCAATCAGTGAGCACACAGTGGGAAACATAGCCCTGGACTTAAGAGTCAGTCAGTCCACGAGGCTGGGCTTGGCAGGAGTGCAGGGATGAGTGACCACAGGGCGAACCTGCGGTCATAGCGGATGACCTGGATGACCTTCTGGGCTCTGTGGAGGGGGAATAATGGAAACAGCTGCCCAGGGTGAGCATGAAGTAAACCAACACAGGCGACACTGGGAGGTCAAAACCGGGCACTCAGTAGAGAAACCAACCGTGGCTGCCCCACGTGACCCTGACGCCCCTCCACGGTCACAGCTGTGTTGATCCAGCCACTGCAGCTTCTTCTTCTAAGACTGCATTCTCTGTACTTCACAGGGCAGCAGGTCCTGGGCCTGGTGGAGAACCAGAGCGACTGGTACCTTGGGAACCTGTGGAAAAACCACCGCCCGTGGCCGGCGCTCGGAAGGGGCTACAACACAGGTAATCCCAGGGCACAGTGGGCGGGGTGCTGCGGGTGACGGGCTGAGAGCCCTTGGTGGGGAGGGAATCTCGGCTTCCTGGGTCCTCCCCTAGCACTGCTGCTGCGGAGGGCGGAGGGCCAGTCCTTTTTGCCTGGAGCTTCCTTGGCCATTGATGTGGGTCACACATCCAGCAAAACAGCCACAGCGCTGACTGTCCTCAGCCACGCATGTGCACGCTGGGTCTGTGGGGACCTGAGCCGGCTGGGGACAGAGCCAGTGTACACCATCCCTAATCTCCAGGCCATTGGCTGGAGATTCCTCTGTCATTGGCCAACTCGAGTCATGTGACTTTCACCCTCAAAGGGAGGCAGTGCACCCTGCCTATGCCCAGAGGCGGCACTGACACCTCTGGAGCTGGGCCTTCTCAGGCCTCCGCCCTCCCACACTCCCTTTCTGAAGCCAGGTCTGTGCCCCCCTTCTCTTCATTCCCATCTGGTTTTCAGTCACGCCGTCCAAAGCTGTCTGGCGGCTGCACCTCATGGCTGTCTGTGAACCCTAAGCTGGGCAGCTCTGCCTTCCCCGGCTGCCTTCCTGCCCCCTCTGTCCTCCAAGGCCTCTGGTGCTCTGCCTCCCCCTTCCCAGCCTCATCGACACTGTAGGGGAGCTCTGTTCCCCAGGGAAGCAGATTCCAGATCTTACCAGGATTGAAACCTGGAGCCCCAAGAGCAATGGGGAGGCCATGGGGGCAGGGGACAGCAAGTGTGCCAGGGCGGGGACAGCACCCGGGGACAGTGCTACTTAAGACACCATGAAAGCTGCCAATTCTGAGAGCTGGTGGTGAGAGCCCAGAGAGGTCAGTGCGAGCACAGCATCCCAGAGGCCAAAGGGAGGGGCAGGTAGCCTCGCTGGCTGAGACCAAGGGAAGGAAGAGGTCAGTGCCATGTCCTGGGCAGCCAGGCGGCTGTGTGATGTCCCTAGGAGGGGTCAGTGTTCCCACTGACAGTGATGGAGCCCCAACCGGGCAGCAACCGCAGACCCCCTGCCATCCTGCAGGCCCCACCTGTATGCCTGTCCAAGGCGTCAAGGAGAGCCCAGGCGAGGCAGGGCTGAGCAGGATGGAAAGGGAAGTGGGCGGTGCCCCTGAGCTGGCAGGTGTCACCCAGGCTCTGTGCTGCGTGCTGTGCAGCCTTCACCTCTCATGGGACCCACAAACCCTGGGAAGCAGGTGCTGTGTCCTCAGCCTTAGCCCAGTGGACCCCGACACCCTGAGAGCTGAAGGCTCCAGCCCGGTGCATGAAGGAGCCTGCGTGTTTCCCCCAGACCACTCTGGCTGGAACTTTTGTGGCTTCCACTTCAAGCTCTTTTGAGAAGGAGACTGCAAGCTCTGTGGTTGATAAGCCCAACAGAAATACTGTTTCTGGAGCCAAATCTCCAGGCTGCTGCACTGGAGTGAGGCACAGGCATCCCCCGCAAGGTCACCCAGGAACTGTCCTCCCAGTGCATGTGAGGTCAGCCCGGAGAGCCCACAGTGGCCACACCATTGCCTTGAGAAGCCAGTAAGTCCCACGTGGCATGGGCACCAGAGACCTCCAGGCTGGGGAGGTACGAGGGAGTCTCAGAGAAACCCTAGCATGTGGAGTAACCGGAAACACCACTCACGGATGCACACAGTGCCCCCCGGGAGCCAGGGCTGGCGATGGTGTTGTCAGCCTGGCTCTCAAGGAAAACAGGAATTTGTGGGGGAACCGTACTGCACCCCTTATGCTGCACATCCTGGGCACAGGAGCCCCCTTCCCCTGGCTCCAGCTGGACACCTCAGAGCTGCGATCGGCTCCCACCTCCTGGTGCCCAAAGCAGCAGCACAGGTGAGGAGAAGCCTGGAGGAACAGTGCGTCCATCCACACGATGAGCCGGCAGCACCAAGGGACCATGGTGACCCCGGGACTCAGGGCTGTCACAGCGACCCAGCAGTGGGCCACAGGTGGGAGAATGAGGCCAGGTGAGTCACCAGGACGGAGGACTCTGCTGGAGGAGGTACTGCCCCCCGAAACCCAGCCCTGGGGCATCCAGAAGGGTCTCTCCAAAGACCCCTCTGTCCTCCAGCTCCACACCAGGAGTCCAGGACACTGGAGCGGGAGTAACATCCCTGGCCACGGGGCGTCACCTCCTTGAGCCTTGGTTCTGTCCCGTGTGGACCTGATGACACCAGAGTGGGGGCTGACCGTTAGCAAGGTCACTTGCCTGGTTCTGCACACATCTCAGTCCCGGCCACCTGCGTGTTTAAAACACTGATTCGATCATGAAACGGGATCCGGCCTCATCACACATGGCATGTGCGTAGTTGACTGAGGTTTGCCAGTCACCCCGGCCTGTGGTCAGAAAGAACCACGAAGGTTTCCATTCTTACCCACATAGAATGCAGCCATGTCTTCCACCATCGGGAAGACTGTTACCTTTTTATACTATTTTAGGAAAGCTGCCTGCTTTAGTTCACGTGTCAGCTTCCCTGCTGCGTCTCACCTTGACGATCCCTGAAAAAGCAGGAGCGCACTGAGCCGGGTCATCGTCTGCCTGGGAGCCCGGGTCTGCGGCTCTGCCTCTCCACCTGGTGGCAGCCGGGGTGCCACTCGGACTGGGGTGCAGCGGCAGGGCCCCTCAGCCAGAGCACTCCTGGAGCCTGCGTTGCTCCTGCTTCTCTTCCTGCTCACATGGTCTGCACGAAGGTCAGGTCTGGCACGCTCGTCCGGAGTCCCTTCCTCCTGGCTGTGACTTGCAGTGGCCGAGGCCCTGGAAAGACCCGATGAGGCACCCACGGTTCCACTCTGGCTTCTCCTTCCCTGTGTGCTTTCACAGAGCCAGGGTCCCCAGAAGGATTCGGGGAGCGCTGCCCTCACCTCCCACTCTCTCTCCAGCTTCCTTTCATCTGAGCAGAGCTCTGGGGAGCAGGTGTGTCACCCAAAGAGCTCGCCATGACATGCGTGGCCTTGAGGCACTTCCGAGCACCTGCACCGACGACTATCCTGACCACAGTATCCACACCCCACCTCCCAGGCTAAAAGCTGTCACTCTCCCAGCCTCGTGGTCAGCAGGGCTTAGAACAGCACGGGGTGCTGACCGGCTCATTGAGATTCAGCTCAGTCAGTTCAGAGCTGATGGATGGGTGAAAACCTGGAAAAACAAACACAGTGAAGGAGAGGGAGGGAGGAGGGTGAGAGCAGGGATGATGGGTGAGTGGCGGTGGCAGGCTGGGAGGAAGAACGCAGGAGTTCCAGTTCACACCGCCATGGGATGCCACCATGGTCACCCAAGCTCCTCTCAGACCCCAGAACGGGCCAGAGCTGGGTAGATGCAGCCTGGCCCTCAGGAGGGGATGCATCTCTTCGGGAAGCCTCACCCACAGGACAGGAAGGTCAGGCCACCCAGGACTGCTCGCTCTGTGGTGGGACGGACTGGGCCTCACAGCATGGGGAGCAGGGGGGTGTGGGAGTGTGCCACGCGGATGGTGTATTCCGTGGCAGGGATTCAGGAGAGAAACGCTGGCAGTGCTGCCTCTGTCCAGCCGGCTGTACTGATGCATTTCTGTAATCCCAGCTCTCAAAGGGGCTGAGACAGGAGGATCACTACGAGTCCGAGTCCAGCCTGGGCTATATAGAGTGAGTTCAAGGCCAGCCTGAAATACGTAGTGAGACCCTGCCTCAAAAACAAAGGAAGAACAGAGAGCTCCTCAGGTGCTGAAGGATGTCGTGAATATCATGATGATTCTGTCTGTAGCAACTGTATCCAGACTGGATTTAAATGTAGTTCATTCATTCATTCTGGGCCTTGGTAACATCCTCCTGCTTGGGGCTCCACGAGGTGCTGGCCTGTGCTCGTGAATGGAGCAGGGTTCTCACATCCAGACGCCTGGTGAGGGTGCTGGACCAATGCCACTCGCAGAAGGAGCCCCCTACCCCGCACCCAGCATCTACTCCCATGTCCCCCAAAACAGGCACAGAGAACATCTGGCCACCGGATTCTGGTCAAGGCATAAGGAGATCACAGCCTTGCTGGACGGCAGTTCACACTGTGAAGGTCAGCACAGGAAGCACTGATGTCAGGAAGTGAAGGCTTGGTGGGTACAGGAACCCTGGCAGGGGCTGCAGGCAGAGGACCCTGAAGTCCACGTGGCCAGTCTGCCCTGCGGCATGTCTTGAGCATGCAGGGTCTGTGGGGAAGGAAGTGGGCAGGGAGAAGCCAGCCCCAGAGCTGGAGAGGCTGGCACACATGGTGAGGAGGAGCTGCAGTCACCAGGGAGCCTGCAGTTTGCACCAGAGAGATGATCAGGAGCCCTTGGTTGCCTGGGTTAGAGCTGGAGATGCATCGAGGATATCATCGGACCTCAAATGCAAATCCTGCACCTCTTTATGCACTGCCTGTCTTCCTAAAATGATTGGAATCTGTCCTCTTGCAAGGCTGAGCAGTGCTCCACTGGAGTGCGTGCTGCTTCTGCTGGGCTCACAGCTGAGCCTGCTTGCGGAGCTCTCCGGGTTTGTTGCAGTGACTGGGTGATGAGGAAACACACAGTGTAATGGCAGTGGGATCCTCGCCTTTCCTTGTCTCTGTGGTCTTCTTGTGACATAGGAGTTAGCACAGCTGCAGACTGGCGCCCGGTGACCTCCTCACAGAGGGCATCAGCACCTGTGGCAGTCGTGTCTTCACTCTGTGCCACGCTGCTCCTGCTGTATCTCCCCTGGCCCCACCGAGTCCTCTGAGCGGAGGTCTCCACGGCGTGTTCAGGGTGGCATCAGGGCCCCTGAAGAGGCCTCATCCAGCACTCAGTCCCCTGAGCGTCGAGCTCTGTGTGGGGCACACCTTGAAACAAGCTGCTGGCTGTCAGAGGAGCGAAAGGACCTGCCTCAGGGTCTCCCTGCAGGGCTGTGCCAGGCATGTGTTAGGATGTCCCCGAGAGCCATGGACTCGTGGGCAGGGCTTTGGGGAGTTGACTGGCATGAGGCTTATAGCTGGCTTCTGTTAGGAGGC